AAAAAAAAAAAAAAAAAAATCTGTAACCTAGTTTCTTGGGGTGGGTGGAGAGGATAGAAAAATACTACATATGCTATTTTTTAAAAGTATATTGTCTTTAGAAAAGGCAAGGAGGTCCATGGCCGTGATTTTCTGGGTTAGCTGTGGCTGACCAGAGGCTGCAATACTGTATCTCTAGACAGTTACACTTGATTTTGGCAGGTACTCAAAGTACACAAATCGCCAGGCGGGATAGTATCTACCTTCAAAGTTGTTCAGGAAGCCTTTGTGACACAATGCCAGAGGGACAGAAATGATCTGAGAAAGGGAAATGACATGAACTGAAAGAAAAGGAAACTGGCTGAAGAAAAGGAGTGAAATGCGAAATTTGCAACGCATACAAATGACAAAGGATTAAGACACACAATATATAAAGAATCCCTGTGGGTCAGTAAGAAAATACCAAATAACCATAGGAAAGTGGGCAATAAATAAGTATTTCACAGATGAGAAAAGCTGAATGACTAAAAATCACATGTAAAGATGCTCACCCTCGTGAGAAAAATCCAAAGTAATGCTACATATGAAATACTGTCTTCCACCCCGCCCAGACTGACGAAAAACCACACCAACTCTTCGTGAGTTCACGGAGCAACCACTTGTGCTACAACAGTGCTGCCACAGTTTGGCATTAACCAGGAAAGCTGAACATATTCGTGACCCGATAACCCCACTTGAGGCATATGCCAGAGAAATGTACAGCTGTGCACTAGAAAACAGGCACAAGAATGACTATAACAGCAAAAGAAAAGAAACAACTCAATGCCCATCAACAGTAGAACAGACACTGTTTGGTTTGGTGAGAAGAATACTATATGGCACTGAAAAAGGTATTTCCATGTCAAGTTGGATTAATTTTAAAAACATAACTTCAAATGAAAACATTTTTAAATTGCTCAGAGCACGCTTCCATTTTTTGCAGGTACAAAAATGGCCAAAAGTAACAATATTATTATTCCTGAATAGATGTTTATAAGATATATTTATAAAGAAAGCAAAGGGGTAATAAACATGACATTTCTTAAATAGCTAAACATTTGAGTCCTTACACTAATTAAAACTACTCTATTCAATATTTTTAAGTTGTATATTACTTTATGTATCAAAAATACACAAAATCTAAAAAAATGTGCAAAAGTTGCTTTCTCGTCTCAGAAAATGTGCAGAGATAATGAATGAGCTACTTGAGGATTCTGTAAAGCTTATGTCAAAGTCTAGCACTAGAAACGTAAGGAAGTGAATACTTCTCCCTCCCTTCCCTCTCCGAACTCATAAAGAAGTATCACCAGTATCAAGTGATAATCAAATACAAGAGACACAGCCTAATAAAAAAAGTTAATTAAGCTCTCCTGATTCCCAAATTAATGAAGACCAAAAACAGTTCTTCCTCAAATTTCAGTCACTTTGAACATAGAGTCTGCAGGGTTTGCCTCCAACCTATAAAAACACTGGAGAATTTCAAAGGAGCTGATAAAGAACCAACAGAGGAGGCTGGGGCTAAATGATAAAGGGTTCAGAAAATTATGATTACAGCTTTGCAATATGCTTAGAAAAATATTATCTAATCATTCTAAGTTTCCTCTATGCATCATCATAAATGGTACTATTTATTTATATCTGATGACTATTTATAATTAACATCCATAGCACCGTATTCTTAATTAAATACTGTGAATATCATGGTCAACTGAGACAATGAGTCCATGCATGCACCTTAATTACTGTTACTTTGATGAACTATTCATATACTCCTACACATTTCCTGTGAGTTTTTAGAATTTTTTTGCGTTTTCCTTATACTGACAAATAAAATTGTTTACTGATGATGTTTTGAAGTATATGTACACTATAGAATGACTAAATGTAGCCAGTTACTACATGCATTACCTCACTGTTACCATTTTGTAGCGAGAACACTCTACATCCACCCTTAGCATTTTTCCAAGAATACAATATTGTATTAATTATTACATGTCGTGCAACAGATCTTAATACAATAAAAGAAAGTGAAAAAACTGCTCAGCTTAACTAGTTTAGGGCTAGATGAAAAATTTCTTCTGAAAAAATTAGCTGTTCTGTTCAACAACTGTCTTCAAAACTTTTTTTAGCCTGCCAAAGAATTACATTTCTAAAGGAGTTAACTCCATATAAAATTACAAATTAGCTGAATGGCTCCTCAGTCACTATTAGATACCTTTCCAACACAGATAATACATTCTAGTTGAATGAAAACAATTTTGACTCAAGTTTCCATAAAAGAGACATGAAATTAAAGGTACTCACTTGCTACTCCTCTTGAGCAATGACTAAGGTGCTTTTACTAGGTGTGGGGACTTGGCCCACACATTAACAGAAGGCTTATCTCTAGGGTGACACTCTCGCGTTTTGGTTCCGGGAACAGAAATGCCTCAGTAATTTCTGAATGTCTTTGGATGGCAGGATAGCAACAGATAAGACCAGCTATCCTTCAGTGTGTTCCTCCCACTCCGCCATGTTGCACGTATTGGCTCATTTTAACCCTCACAAAATTGGAGGATGAGTGAGCAAATACAGTATAATAGTATTTCAGTAGGTAGTACATTCAGGTAGCATCCATAGATTGCTAAAACCATGTGACCTGCAAGTAAAGCCATCTTAAAGACACAACTCTTTTAGTAAAGCAAATGTTGTACAATGTGTAACATGCATGCATAGTATATGTTATATATGATTTATATATGATCATATATATACATGAGCTTTATATTGGTGGTACATAGATGCATCAGGAAAGAAGAGTTACGAATTTTAAATTTAGGAATCCCAATGTGTAAAAGTTGTGTCCACAAATATTTAAAATCGACTATTTGCCTAATAATAGTCATGTGGCCACCCTGGAAATTTCCACTGTCGTTGGCTAGCGGAGAACCATTATCACAGGTGAGCTCCACCTGGGTCTGAATCTCAGCTCCGCGAGATTTCTAAGTGCCGGGGAAATTTCCCTGTGCTGCCTAGGAAAGGCTGGCCACAGAGGGTGTGGCGAGGGACCAAGGCTTGACCACAGCACAAGCGTCTGGAGCAGGGCCTGCCCTTAGGAAGCGCTCAGGTCAAGCTGGCTGTCACTTCTACGGTGTCTCCAGCTCTGAGGGTTTGTCTGGCGTGACTTCAGACAGTCCGGAACCTCTCGGTAAGGTCGGTCTGCAGTCAGGCCGAGCAGGGAGCAGCACATGAGCGTCGGGCGCACAGGGCCGGGCAAGCGCGCCAAACGTGCCGGCCGCCCTGGGGCTGCGCGTC